TTACCTTATTCTTGCTTCTGAAGGAACGATTAAACCTAGATGCGCTTGTAAACGGCTATTTGTCGGTCCACAATGTGGCAAAACTCTTGTTCCTGAGGTGAGGGCCGAAAATCTCATCTAAAATGTTATGCCATACGCAGTTATTGAGAGCGTGATTTTATGGTTCACAATAAACCTCGGATCTGCTTGCGTTACTGCTTTCGCGAAACTCCTTGAGAATAGAGCATGTTTGTGGCACTATTTCGCAATTTCCCGAATGAAAGTGACCGTTTTCCAGTAATGGAAATGCGGTCCATCGTCCATCGACAGTAATTGTGGGGTTTTCGTCTTTCCACGATTCTGGAGCGGAATGGAAAGCGCGAGCTGCTTCGGCTCGAATGGAAACCCATTGCCGCTCCACTCCCTTAAAATTTTATATTACCTTTGGGAAAAGTAGAGGTGCTGAGTCAATTACTTTCAAGTGCTTCCCATAACCAGTTTGTTCGTTACTCCACCATGCTCTTCCAGTCAGTCCTTCGACATTGTACATCGATCTTTGCTGCGCAGACAGGAACAATCCCAGCGATGCAGCGTGTTCGAAGACCGCGTAAGCCTACAATTTTGTACACCTGCACTTCCTTAGAATAAAATTTGACGTGCATGATTAAAAGCAATTATTTATAAATAATTGTGGGGGTAATCACATAGTCTAAGTTGAATAAGGTGGTGGCTATTGGCTTGGGCAACGCCTTAGGTAGAGGGCACCTGTGGTGTATGGTAGCTCTTCATGATAGCAGTGGTAATCAAGATAGGCGGAGTAAGGCATGGTGAGATTCTGACCATATCAGGTTATCATAAATGATGATGTATACGGTGTTTCGACTGTAACTCGCAGCAAAAGATACAGAATTTAGAGAGTCGCGACGATTATGCCAGCGCGAGGAGAAGATTTGAACAAACCACTCTTTGCGAAAAAGTGTTTCACATCTTTTCTTATTTTTCCAGGAATGTTAAGTAATTTGTCTCGTGTATTAGTGCTAATGCACGCTTGCACTCTTGCGACGTTAACCATCTGATGCGTTCATTACT